GTGAAGTGCATCATGCGTCCAATATGATAGTTAAATTGGTAGTATGATTAGATGCATAGACCTAGCTCTCTCAGTTTTTCTGGATGGAGCATGTGTCATTATTTTCTGTAAATACTACGAACAAATATGATGTTATATGCAAATGTTTTTCTTGTGGAAAAAAAGGTTAAGTGATGAAAAAGTGTTTAAAATATTTTTACTAATGTAGGGGTGAGCGGGTTGTTCAAGCCTGAGTTAGCTTATAAGATGCCACCCTATGCTGCCTTTTGGCTAACATCCTACTAATATAGTTTACTACCTCTCTCTTCTCCTAATGTCTATGATTACAGTACTCACCTGAACCTATACATAAGTCCTCTGTAAAGAATTCTATAGAGAGAGACAGCTCTCTGCTTATTGCTTGTTGCAGGGCATTAATGTGCTCTGCTCCTTTAAAGAGCTGAAACTGCTAGGGGAAAAGCCCTAGCAGTGAGTTGGAAGCCCCAGATGCTAGTTACCAGGGCAGCTAGAACAAGCTAGTGGCTCACATTTGCCAGTGGTCAGCTGACCGGAAGGGGCAGGGCCTGGCTCATATATAAACCCCAGGGCTGAGGCCAGGAAGGCAGTTCCCTGCCAGCAGCCAAGGGGGAAGGAGCTCTCCCAGAGTAAGCAAAGGGAAGAGGCCTGACTGCAGGTGCAGCTTCAGCTTCTGATACTGTTGAGGGACAGAGTACTCTCAGTGTCGCTTGAATGATGTTATAGCTGGGCAACTTGAATTTATGTTATAGCCCAGGGGCTTGTGTTTTGTTTGCTTTTGTATAAGACTGGTGGTTTGGGTGAGGCTATTAGGGGAAGGAGGAGGCCTCATTGGGGGCCCATGGCAGCATGGGCACCCTGGTGCCAGTGAGGGCGTGGCACTTGGGGTGCATGGGCCCTGGTACAAGTTAAGCGCAGAGCGAGACAGGGTTGCAGAGAGCCCAGGGAGGACAAGGGGGCCAAATTACAACAAGGCCCAGACCGGGCAACGTCAGTACCATCTGCGAGGCTTAGGGCATTGTAAAGGGATGGTTGGAGCCATGCATAACCCATAAGGCTAGGGTGCCCTGAAACACCCATTGTGACATCTGTTTTGAAGCCGGATGCACCAGAGGTCCGGGAACCCATGAGGTCCAGAGAATCAATTAAAACCGTGTCCAAGAGGACTTAAAGGCAGCCTCCCAATAACCATTCCATCAAAAATGTGGCAGGCAAGAACAGAGGGTGCCCATTCGGCCAACTTGGTATGGTAAAGGGGCCTGGGGAGATCACAGCCATCCTTCAGGACCCCAGCCCATGACACTGCTCTATGTCTAAAGCTTGAGGTATTGTACCTTTAAATGGTGGGGGCCCCTCACCTTATAAATTCTATTCCTAAATGTGACTTCATAATAGTCACAAGTAACAGGGCCCTGTTACTGTTTCCTATACCAGGAAACATTCTGATTCCCCTTCTGAGATGCCATTTACACCTGTGTTTGAGAATAAAATGCTGTCTAATAAGGTGCTAAAAATTTCCAGATACTAATGACAACATAAGAATGTTAGGAAGTGGAGAATTATTGATTCTAGACCCATATGAGGCTTTTTTCATCACCTAGCCTGATCTTCTGTATAGCACAAGCCATAGAATTTCACCAGGTAATTTCCTATAAGGCAATGTTCTTGGTAAAAGACCCCATGAGGACCACCTGGAAATTACTACTAGTCCTTTTCACAAGAACTCAGTGGTGTTCTATGGGATTTGCCTTGTAAAACATGTAAAATTGAATGCTTCCAAGCATCGCAGAAATCTTGATGATTTTTCAAAATAAAGAAAAAGTCACAAACTTAAAACGGAAGAAGAATTTATCCTTGACGCTGTAACACTTAACACTACATACAGACATTTTTATTCCAAATGTCATTATGGAAATTGATAATAATGCTTACTTTAAAAACATATAAAAATAGGACTAGAAGGGACCTGACAGGATAGTGTATGTTAAGACCACAGGGACTTGAACCCAGGGTGGCTAGGCCAGCAGACAGAGAATGGGTCCTTAGCACCACTATACAGCTGATCAGACATGAGATTCATTCCAGCCTGGTTCCTCCCATAAGGATATTAATGAGGAGTCAGGTGACCAGAGGAAGCCTATAAGCACTGCGAGCCCTTGACAGGAGGTCTATAAAACACCTCCTACTTTCCATAGGACTTGTCCCAGCAACAGTGTGTGGGTGTGCATCTTTTTTGGACTTCTGTCTTGCCTGTTGGGCCTCCCAACTCTGATCTACCTTCCTCCCTGATGATGATACTGCTTCAACCCTTGGGTCTGAAGACCTGGACCTTGACTGATACCTGGTATGACCCCCAGCCTTCGTATGGTAATTCACTGAGTGACTGCTTGCAGACCAGTCAATCCTGACAGCATAAAACTTGTTGGAAGGTTATCCAAAAATCTCGCAGGTGGTGAAAAACCACGTTCTAATTTTAGTCTCCATTTATGAATGGCTGTTCATAAATATGTGTTGTGCTAACATAATCCTTTTAGTGTAATAGTTCTTTTCCTTCCTTAAGAGTTTACTACAACCACCACTACTCCTACACATAAAACATTTATATCTTGCTCAGCCTTTATTTGGCTAACCTAAATAAGCCAAGTTATTTTTGTTTTGTATGATAAGGTATCCATTTCCCCTATACAGGGGAACTTCATTCCATTTCTATTACACTAGGCCTCAGAAGCAGTTCTTCCCATATGATAGTGCAGCATTATATTGAAGATGCCGCTCACTGTAGTGTCATCAGCAATTTTCATTGCCACTCTTCTACTTTTTGTGCCAATGTCACTAATAAAACTATTAAACAGGACTGGTCCCAAGAGTCAGCCCTGAGGAACTCCACTAGTAATTTCTTTTAGCTCAGCATTCCCCCTTTCAACATTATTCCATCAGTCAGTTCTTTATTTGTCTCACAATTCTTCTTCTAATCCTTATCACTTTGATATTAGATAATACCCTTGTGATACTATGTGAGATGCTTTACTGAATTTGCCAGAGATAAGATGTATTATTGTACTTTTTCTGCCTAGAAAACCAGTTATCTTTTCAAAGACATCAGGCTAGTCTTCCACAATTTATCTTTGATGAATCCACATTGTGCTTCATTCCATTTTCCATTCACTTCCCTATTTCTAATTATTCTTTCCTTCAATATTGGCTTTAAAGCCTTACAGACTACTGAGATGAGACCAAAAAGGCCAGTAAACGTCTCAATCAATTTCTCTTTAAATACAGTTACTATATTTGCTTCTCTTCAGTCATATGGTATCACACCCAACTGATAATTTTTGTTTTAAATAATTGCTACTGGATGTGTGATTTCATGAGCCAGTTCTTTCTGAATTCTGGGATGGAGGTTACTTACTCCTCCTGATGTGAAGGCATTAAGCTCTTCTCAGTTTTGCGTCCTGCTGCAATGTGGTATCTTCATTTCTATTCCTTCATTGCCACTAGACATTCTGCCTCCATCCCCATGTTCAGTATCATGGTCTTTATTGAAAACTGAGGCAATGTTTTCATTTAGCTTTTGGGGCCCAACTATGGTAGATTATTTTTAATGTCTTCTCCATCCTCACTACATAGCAGCCCTACTTTTCTTCTTTCTCTTTTTATCCATTTGACTGAAGAAGCTTTCCATATTTGTTTTACCATCCTTTACAAGGTCTAACTCAGCCAGTATTCATTTTATCCCACACTTCTTGACCTTGAAGATAACTTGGTTTGCTGATCAATATTTTTTTCATTTTTATTCATTGGAGGCTCTCTAATTATTCTTAATGTTCTTTATTTCATGTATTTCCCCACTTGGTTTGGTCTGGAGCCATCTTTGGCTAGCCTTTTCTTGGGATAAAGTTCTAGATAGTTTTACAACCTTTTGATTCATGAAATTAGGCATCCTCTACGAGTCTGTGAGTCCCTCAACCCAGCTGACTAACTAGCTCCTTTTATCAAAGGTTGTCTTTCTGGAATTAAGAATCCTTGTTACAGACCTTTATCATTTATTTTAACCAAACTAACTCAAGTCAGGACCACTTACCAAGACTATTTTCTATGATCATCTCTTTCACAATGTACTCCTTACTTAAAACTAAGTCTGAAACAGTATCATCTCTTGTTATTTTAGTGTATATTTGGTGAAGAAATATTAGCTATTGTACTCAGCAATAACTGGGCCCTACCAGCATTTGTTCTTCAATCTGTAGCTGGGAAATTAAATTACCATTGACACAATTTCTGGTATTAGTTCATCTCTCTAAAAACATTAGAGATCCCTATCTATTAATATGTAGCATCCAACTGGCTTCACCTTAATTTAGAAAGAGCAAATGGAACTCTTTATTCTGTCTCTAGATGAAACTCAGAATTTTTAAGTCTGTTCCAGATGTTTCCATGGGTTAATAAACATTTCTCTGGAAATAATTGGTTTTGAATTATTATGGGTCACCCTGGAAGGGAAACATTTGGAAATGTGGATCATATGAAATAGCTGAAGTGTCTGGCTGGAAACTCTAGTGTCAATGATATCTTGTATATACTTCATCATTCAGTTGGCCACTACCCAGTTGCTCCTGAATATGTGTACGCGAGTGTGGTTTTTTTTTCCCCCTCAGTGTGTATTTTTTAGTTATACTATCTTGGCATTTGCCTGTCATTTATTAATTGAGTTTTTAGGGAACACACCTTAAATACTATGATTATACAACAGATAGCTAATATCTAAATGTGATTATTTCATTAATTATGGCTATCACGTTACATACTACACCACAACCAATGCAATTTACCTAGTCAAACCTCTTGCAGCAAGTATTAGTATAGAATCTGTCATAAGGATGAAGGATGAACATAACTCCATCACATTTAGTGTAGCTGTGCATACTAAACTAAAAGCTCTATCAAGAAAAAACTACACAGTTCAGAAAACAAACAAACAAACTTACTGTGATTCCAATCCATGGTAAACTTCTCAGTTTATGGCAAACTTATTTCAGTTCAAGGTGTTGCTTTATTTCATCACAGCTCTTGTGGCAGCTGTTGCCCTCTGGTATCCTGTTCCTTTGTCCAGGGTTTAGGAATGCTATCGTACTTAGACACAAGACTGATGAACACAATATAAAATTCTTACACTTGCATATGGCTATGCTTGAATAACATAAGCATTTAATTTGCCCAACTCTGCCTAATATGTCCCATAGTGCTAACAGCTAAAATAAATTCTCTTTCAGCTTAAGCAATAAAATCCTCCTGATCCAAAACTGCAGGATCCTGAGTTCTATTCCATTGCCTCCGCAAACTGACATATTTTAAATAACCACAGTTTGGTTGTAATATCCTGCAGACACAAAACTTCATAGTTATCATAGATCAAACTATCATCAATTTTTTTCTCAGATGAATCCTATTCTTAACTCCTTCCTCTGTCATAATGTTCTTTTATGTAACAGCCTACAAAAAATGCATTTTTGTCTTTTTCTTCACTTTGCAAACTCAGCTCTAATTTGGTTCTCTAAGAAATCAGTAATGTTTTCCATCCGAGTCAATTGATTACATTGCCCCCATTAACTTGTATAATTTTGCAACCACTATAATTACATAACTATACTTGTAGCTTTTCCAAGTCCCTTTTGGATAGTTGCTCAGTCTTTACAGGTGTCAGTCGTACTTTCCAGTTTAATAGGGGCTACAAATCTAAGTACTACAATATACCACTTCTTTCCTCTAAGAGACTGCTAGTGTAAGTAACCAACCTAATCAGATCTATAGCAAAATCTTACAGGATACCATTAACTCTGGCTTACTTTATTACCCTTATTGCCCTTTGTTTACCTAATTACTCTTCAGTCCTTACATTGGTGCCCTGAGTGGCATATAAATCAAATTGGTGTGCCTCTGGCAGATGCTAGAAACTATCATTTTCAACACTGGGTACTGTAGTGGCTGCAGGATTAGCAACTCCAGGCATTTTTTTGAAAAAACAAAACAAAACATGAACGAAGTCCCTTAATCCAGCGTTTCTCAGCCTATGGCTTGTGATCCAGAAGGCGGTCGCAACAATAATATGAAAGGGTTAACAAACTTTAAAATTAGATTCTTCTTTAAAGGAAAAAACAAAACATGGGAAACCATGGCTTTCCCCTTGCAGGCTAGCAGAGCTCCAGTCTGCAAGGGGCTGCTTGGGGCCCCTCATGCCCAGCTGCTGCCCCACACTAGGGAGCAGGGTCCTGGGGGTGAGGGAGTGGGTGGGGAGTAGGGTGGCCATCATATAGGGCAGTCCAGTTGTCCTGTGTCCTCTATTGATACAAAACCAGACCCCTTTACATCCTTTATTTTTCTCTTGTATACAAAAACAGAGGACATAAACGCGTCAGGTTTCGTATTAATACAGGACAGAGGAGCAGAAACCCGGAATGTCCTCTGTGATGGCCACCATGGTTGTGAGTGAGGGCACTGGGTCAGGACTGGCCATTGTTATTAACAAATGGGTCATGGTACAAAAAAGTTTGAAAACCACTGTCCTAAACTCAGGGGTCACTCTTGCTTGGTGTTAGGCTCAGCCTTTCTCTTTTGCCTTCTGATATGTAGAGCTCTGCTTTCCAGTCTTTCTCTGCAACTCCAACTCGAAGAGGCTTGCGCTGTGAAGGGAAGCGGAGGCTGTCATTTAAACAGCCCCAGGAGCTGGGAGCAACACCAAGTCGCAGGAAAGGTGGCAGGCCAGCTGGCAACGCGGCACGGCTCCCTGCACCTGCCCTCTACCCCTCTGCAGCCCGCCCCGACACAGCCAGGGGCTGGGGCAGCGCCACTGCCCTCCATGCTGAAGGACAAGGACAGCTAAGGTGCCCCAGGGAGCAGGTCCACATTCCAGTCTCCTTTCTTCGACTGCGCACGCGTAGCGCGCCGAACGCCACTCTCCCTTCTCCTCGAGGCGCGCTGCATGCTGGGTCGCGTCCCGTGGTTACCGTTGCTATGAGGGGCCTAGCGCCTCCCCGCAACCAGACTTGCGATGGGGAAGCAAACCATCCCCATCTACGCCCGGGTGAAGCCGGTGGCGCGGCGGCAGCGGGCGGGGGTAGGCGCCCCAAGGGCTGCGGGCATGTCGCGGGGCGAGGAGGGGTTGCGCAGGCGGCTTCTTGTGCCCTCGCAGGTGGCGCGCGCGCGTGCGACTGTGCGTGCAGTTCCCGTGTGTGCAGACGTGTGTGTCTGCATCTGCATGTACATACATGTGCATGCGTGTGCACCCGTGCATGTCTGTGCGTGCACATGTGCATGGAGGTGCACATGGGCACGTGTACCGGCTTGCGTGGATGTGTGCACCTGTGTGCGGATCTGCACGTGTGTGTGGGTGCGTGCATGCAGGTGCACTTTTGCACCTGTGCCTGTGTAGGTGCACGTGCATGCGTGTATGTTGTCTCGTGTCTGGTGAAGAAATAATGCAGTGGGTCTCAACCAGGGCATCCTGAGGTGCCAGGAGATCCTTTTGAAGGGAGCCTCTGCATGGAGGGAGAGAAGCGGGTGTACAAGTTTACAGAACATTGCTGCCTGGCCACTGCCCCCCCTGTTGCCCAGCCCCTCTGCAAGGAGGTTCAACCATTTCCCCCGCTGCCGTGCAGCAACCCCTTGAAATATATTGTTGTTGAAATGGGGTGCTGCTCAGTTCACACAAGTGATGGAAGGGCGCCTCCACTGAAACAAGGGGTGCCTCGAGTAAAAAGTGCGAGACCCACTGGTGGAATGGATAAAGCAATTAATCTCCTTCCACCCAGCTAGAAAAGGTCCTTGCGCTCTTGCTTTGATTGCCGTGGGATTCTGGTTGGTCAGAGGTAGACTGATCTCAGAAGCGGTGACATTCCCTGAAATCCCTACCTGGGACCTGAGAGAGAAGATGCAGTTTGGGTAAATCAAGGGAAGGGGGCCCAAGCCCCTGTTCCTCTGGTGAAGCCTCCATGATTAATCCTTATCTGCATTTTGTAGATTTATTCCATCGAAGAAGATAGATCCGCATCCAGTTTAGAGATTATTGTGCCACGTGATTTGGCAGATGGATTTGTCAATAATAAGCGAGAGAGTTACAAGTTCAAGTAAGTTGCCTTTACTTCGATTTTTTTTCTTTGTGCATTTTATTTGATATTTAGTAATAGTCTATTTGATTATTTGTCTATTAGATATATTTAGTAATAGTTTTCATACAGAACTTTTAATAATAGGAATTGTCTAGTGCTACAGCCTGTTGCACTGCATCCCCTAGCTGAGTTCTTGTCCCTGGGGCAGGGGGCTGGACTTGATGATCTTCAAGGTCCCTTCCAGCCCTAATGTGTATGAAATCTATAATTTCACTATAAATATGAAAGAAATTGATAGCCAAATTTGCAGTTGTTGGGTAACTTTGAGGTAAAATGTCAGAACCCTGTCTGCAGGATGGCACTTGCTATTGCTATTGTATACGGTTGGGGAACTGAATGGGAACAGTTCTCTTTAAGCACATCATTTTGTCAGTGCTGTGATAGTAGCAACCCTAAAACTGATTAGTACCTCTCATTTTGAAATGTAATGGTTTCAGAGCAGCTATTAGAAGCCTTGAAAGTGGGAAGAGATAACAGCCATGAAATCCACTAGCTCCTGTCATTTTCAAGGTTCCTAATAGTTGCCATTTGACAACTTCTTCTTTGATGCAGGTAAAGCCTGCTGTTAGTTCAAGATTAGAGAGCAAGGTTGAAAGATGCTAAGCACTTAAGCAGTTTACTTATTTAACCAACATGCAGGTAAACAGAGTTTATTGCAATTTAAGCATTAGGCAACAAATTAAGACTGGTAGCGACAAATCATGTAGTAAGGAATGTATGCACTTATCTGGTGTGCATATAAGCAAAGTAGTAAACAAACTGTTTATGAATGTTTGGAGAGTCTGTCTCTTTCAAAGTTAAGAATTTACTATTTTCTTTTCAAATAACAATACAATCTTTAAACCTTGGGTTTGATTGTTCTTTGCCCCTGTCGAATAGTGCTCCAGATAAATAAACATCTGTAGTTCAGACTGATGTCACTGCATGCACTCTAATTAAACCCTTTCTTTTTTGGGACTAAAGAGTAGTCCTCTTCACTGGAGTAATGTGCAACATCAACTTGGATTACAGATGTCCAAGCCAGCTGTAATAGATTTTGACGTTTTCTCTGACTTTATCATTCTTGTAAGAGTCTGTAAAAAAGAATTCTAATAAATGTTGAGCGTGGTGATCTCTATGGATATTTTCTTTCTCCCAGTCTCTTACAATAAAATTATGCATATGAAAGAAACTATTTGGCAAATACCTTCTTCTTAAAACTCAGTTTTCTTCCCTATGCCTCTATACCTCGTCACCTTTGGCTCTTACCCTGCAATCCTATTCTGCTGTGGGTGGCATAACTGATATCAGACAATATCTGTAGAACTGCTCAGATAAATAACATTTTTCAGGATAGCGGCATGTGTTGCAACACCTCTCAATGGTTCCAAATATATTGTATTTGAGTGAGGCACTGTATACTGTATGAACTTTGAGACAGGGACATTGTCTTTATTTTTTGTGCGTCCTGTGTAGTGTTGTGTAACCTTAATGTCAGATAAAACAATTAAATTAATGCTTTGATTTAAAAAAAATTGTTAATAGTGGTTACAATAAGTTTTAGTTGCTTTACCATCATGCAACGGTTGGGAATCTGAATGTACTTTTTTAATGCTCTGTAATTTATTTGTCTAGTTTTCTGTGTGGTGCCAGTTCCAAACACTGTTTCCTTTGATAGTTGTAAAAATACAGTTTATTTTTGCCCCTAAACTACATCATTTTATCAGAGGATTTTATTGTACAGATCTTGTCAAAGCAGTACTTTGTATTTACAATCTATTTGTATACAATAACACAACAGCACACTGTGATTAGACTTCAGGGAAAACATTGTGCTACATTATGTAAGCCCAATGATGTAAACATTGACTATTTACAAACAGAAAAACAAAATACATGATTCAAGTAGTGTTTACATAGCCTACATGATTAATATTGGTTTCTTATTTGCAGATTTCAGAAAATTTTTGATCAGGAGACGAAACAAGATGAAATTTTTGAAAATATTGCTAAACCAGTGGCAGAATGGTAGGTGTTTAACCTCATAAATAACTACTAGTCATGTGTGTGGTAATTATTATACCATTTGGAAACAGCCTGATTATCATTTGTTTTGTTACTTTGAAACTGGTCCCTGCTTTTATTGTCTAAATGATGATCTATCTGTATCAAGTGGGTATAGAAGAACCCCATGGGAGTTTTTCTTTTGGAGGGCTGTATCATTAACTCCTAAATTACCTCCCAAATTCACCTGCTTTTCTGAAGTAATATGGGAGACATAGAAATTTATATTTGGTTGGTTTTTGCCATTTCCACTGATTTCTCTCCTTTCATCCTTTAGAAAAGGTGTAATTCCTGTTGAAGAAATGTTTGAGAGAATTTCATTTCACTGTTTGGTTTTTATGAATTTAGTAACAGTCATATATGGATATCTTTATTGTGAAGATGGCCTTCAGCTTTGCTCTTACTTTCAACTAAGCTTCATGCATGACAGTGGTGGTGTTAGCAATGTTATTTGTCTTTTTACCATAATAATTAAAGCATGCTAACATTCTAGAGCCAAGCTCCCAAATCTTAAAAATTTCATGTGTTATAGAACCACTCTTTAGATTGAAAAGTGTTGTGATTATGGAGGGATTTTCTGCTTGTTTAATTTTCATTGTTCAGTTTGTGGTACTGTGGCTAATACAATCAATACCAGATATCTATCACAGTGAAAGAAACAAGAGCCCTGTCTGCTCTTGCCTTATTTGTTCTTTAATCCTGTTCACTACATGGAATCCAAATTCTGCAGTGAATGAAATACTACTTCCCACTTCTTCCTCATTCACAATCACATTAATTTTACCTGTAGGGCATTATGTTGCAAGAATAATGGGTCTGAGGTCAAGTAATTAGAAATGGTATAAAAGGCATGTGCAGAAGTGACATAGGAAGCTTGTGCAGGCTGCAGAAAATATCACTGTACCTTCATATATTTTGATATGATTTCAGATGCATTTATGAGGCATCATGGAACAGTTTACTGTACTATCTTTGTTATGTTAATAACATAAAATAGAGTTATTTAAAGTTTGGACACGTATTTTTGTAAAAAGAAAAACAACAATTGAGGCAAGAAAACTTGCAAAATACCATGCTATAGGCTGGAGAACATTCTACCCATCCACAAGTTCTCTGTTGAACAGGTGGATTTGTAATTTAGCTGTTAGAAGACAGATTTCTGTTTCCCATGCCCATGTGTAAGAGCTAGGAGGCAGAACCAATAAAGGAGTTAGGTGCTTAAGTTTTAGGCTTCTGGTCCACAGAGTGAAATATTTAACTCTGGGACATGGGGAAAGTTAAGTCACCTCAGTATGGAATCCAAACCAGGCACTATACCGGTACCCAGTGAGACTTTTCCAGTAGGAAATCCTGATTACAGGGTGTGTCTTAAACCCTGTTCTCTTTAGAGCTTGAACGCCTAATTCAGGCCTTCAAGAAGGCACCTCTAATCACTTAGCATCCACAGCCTGGACTCTTCTCTTGAAGGTGGGTTTTTTGTAGCAAGGAAGGCAGGATTTTCTCTCTTCTTTTAAAATGTGCTACTGGAATTGGAGGTGCCTGTTGTATTCTGTAATAGCTCAGTTACCAGACCACTGGTCAATTCATTGTGAGACCTTGGTTAATTGCCTTTTCAGCCAGAGGCATCTCATACTTATATCTCCCACCTCTTGTAAAAATGCCCTAACAACTGCTTATAGATTAAGATGGGGGGAGGGGAGGGCTGGAATAACAGCAGTCTCCGTGCCTTCTATTGAAATTGTTCTCCTGTGCAGCAAAAAACAATTTAAGATTTATTAGGCCAAAGATGGGTGGCATGATTGTATTTTAGCAGGAGTGTGGCTAGGGCATTTCCTCAGGAGGAAGGAGTCCTTGGTTTTGTTCCAAGGTCATGGGGGACCTAAACTACGCAGACATCTGCTGGGAGGAGCAGTCAGCCAGGTCTGACCATTCGCTAGGTTCCTAGCTGAAATACAGGACCTCCACCTTATCCAGGAGGTGGACAGCCCCACTAGGAGAGATGCCCTGCTGGACCTGGTCTTGGCCACTGGGGATGACCTGGTGAGGGGGGACTGCAGGTCCTTGACCACATGGGTGACTGATCATTGCCTGCTGGAATTCACCATCCAGCGCAGGGAGTTGAGGGCTTATACCAAGACTAAAGCCCCTGACTTCAGAAGGTCCAACTTCAATGAATTTAGGAGATTAGTGGGGGAGGCACTGAGGGCCCAAAAGGTACAGGATATGGGAGTCCATGAGGGATGGTTGTATCTTAAGGGGACGATCCTCCAGGCTCAGAGTGTGACAGTCCCCAAGAGAAAGAAGGGAAGTAAGAGTGCTCTGAAACCCCCATGGCTCAGCAAAGTCATTCGAGAATGCCTGAGGGCCAAAAGGGAGGCATATACCTGGTGGAAGGGAGGGGCTATCACCAAGGAGGAATACTCCTTCTTGGCCCGTGAGTGTAGGAGGGCTATTAGGAAGGCCAAGGCGGTGGTGGAGCTCAGGCTAGCGACCAGGATTAAGGACAACAAAAAGTCTATCTTCAAATACATTGGGAGTAAGAAGAGGGCACTGGGTAATATAGGGCGCCTGCTAGACTCAAATGGTAATCTTGTGGCTACACCAGACGAGAAAACCGAAATTTTTAACAAGTTCTTCACCTCTGTTTTCTTGGGTCAGGGACCAGGACAGCTCTCCCACCACAGGTAGGGACAATCTTGGGGATAGCACTGCCAGACCTCAGGTCTGCGCTGATGTAGTTAGGGATCTTCTGGAAGGGCTGGATGTTTTTAAATCTGTGGGCCCTGATGCCCTCTACCCACGGGTGTTGAGAGAGCTGCCGGGGGTCATCGCTGTGCTCTTGGCCTGGCTGTATGAGCAATCATGGTCCACAGGCCAGGTGCCCGGAGATTGGAAACTAGCTAATGTGGTCCCCATTTATAAGAAAGGGAGAAAGGAGGACCCAGGAAACTATAGGCCCATAAGCCTCACATTGGTCTTGGGGAAGATCCTTGAAAAAATTATCAAGGATCACATCTGTGAGAGGCCAGCAGGGGAGATCATGCCCAGGGGAAATCAACATGGGTTCATCAATGGCAGGTCCTGCCAGACCAACCTCATGGCCTTTTATGACCAGGTAACTAAATCCCTGGATGATGGTGTCGCCGTGGATGTAGTCTTTCTGGACTTTAAGAAGGCCTTTGACACTGTCTCTCACCCCATTCTCATTAATAAATTGAGCGACTGTGGCATTGGTACCTACACAGTTGGATGGGTCAAAAATTGGCTGATGGGGCACACCCAGAGAGTGGTGGTGGACGGGCTGTACTCGACCTGGCGGGATGTGAATAGTGGGGTCCCCCAGGGCTTGGTCCTGGGGCCTACACTGTTCAACATCTTCATCAGTGACTTGGACGAGGGGGTGGAAAACACATTGTCCAGGTTCACCGATGACACCAAGATGTGGGGAGAGGTAGGCAAGCTGGAAGGGAGAGAGAGGCTGCAATTAGATTTAGACAGACTACAGAAGTGGGCGGATGGTAACAGGATGGGGTTCAATGTAGATAAATGCAGGGTGCTGCACCTGGGGAGAAGGAATCCACAGCATATATACAAGCTGGGAAGCTCCCCACTTGTGAGCACAGAGGAGGAAAGGGATCTTGAAGTCATTATTGACTCCAAGATGAACATGAGCTGCCAATGCCAGACCACAGCCAGCAAGGCCAGCCATACCTTGTCATGCATCCAAAGATGCATCTCAAACTGGTCCAGAGAGGTGATACTACACCTGTACACGACATTGGTCAGGCCACAATTGGAGAACTGCGTCCAGTTCTGGGCACCGCATTTTAAGAAGGATGTGGCCTGCCTTGAGAGGGTTCAGAGGAGGGCCACCCGCTTGGTTGGAAGGCAACAGGGCAGCCCGTATGAGGAGAGGCTGAGGGACCTGAACCTGTTCAGCCTCAGCAAGTGGAGGCTGAGGTGGGGATTTGGTGGCTGCCTACAAATCGTTAGGGGAGATCAGCAGCAAATAGGAAGGGCCCTAATCCCTCCAGCAGCACCTGGGGTGACGAGGAACAATGGCCACAAGCTGCTGGGGAATAGGTTCAGGTTAGAGATTAGGAGGCACTATTTCACTGTTAGGGCGGCTAGGATCCGGAACCAACTTCCTAGGGAAGTGGTCCTCGCTCCTACCTTGGGTAAATTCAAAAAGAGGTTGGACGAACACCTGTTGGGGTCATGTGATCCCAGCGTGTGCTCCTACCAGTGGCGGGGGGTCAGACTAGATGATCTGTTTAGGTCCCTTCTGACCCCAAACTGCTGTGAAACTATGACTGTTCAGGACTGTTTTGTGTTGTGACTAGCAACTGTTTAATGTAAAATAGATGTAGGTTTGACATTCCCCAGGTTAAGGTGAAAATTTAACAATGAGTTCCCACTATCTAGGTGAATTCTGTAGCCTACGGCTGTCCAATTTCTAAGTGGCTTAGGGCTGCATGCCCCTCAAGGCACACTAGCAAGGGCCACATCAATGGGGGGGACCATGAGTCCTAGGTGCTGCGTGCACCCACTTTCCTGCTATGCACTGCATGCCCAGGCACCCCACTGCTGCACTGTGCACCACCCCCCACCTTTGC